AATTTTCGAATTAGTTAAGTATTTTGTGACAATATAACAGTGTGTGTGTGTGTGTGTGTGTAATCTTATTTCGATAAATACTGATGTATATTGACCTTGAATAGGTTTATTTAAAAAAAATATTTGTGCCTTTCATTTTAGTTCGTAATTCATGGAATTACACTGAATAACTGTTTCATACTATTTTACTAATGTTAAAAACACACGAACGGTATTATCATTTCTGAATACTTTACGAAATGAACCAAGATCATAATGACGTCATAGCGAAGCCTCGTCGAGATTGTTCTTTCTTTTTTTTGATACAGTATATTAGTGAGGACTCGCCCTCCCCTTCCCTCCCTCTCCAATGGCACTCCACTAGCTTTCAGTAGAATTAGCATCCGCCTCCTCCTCCTCTCCAGTACTGTCACCCTCCACCAACTTGAGCCTCCCCCTCCTCCATACCCTCCCCAAGAACATCACCTTCAGCCAACTTCAGTTAACCCTGCTGATCAAACGACACTCACAGTAATTACCGAGTTGCCCGCCGTCCATACTAACATCCTACAGTTCTGAATCATTCACTTATCGACGTAGGCTTTTCTTTTAGGCCACCTTGCTCACACAGTGGTTATTCATTTGACTCTTGTAAGGTTTGTATGGCATTGTATTGCGTAGTTTAGGAGGGAATGAGGTTTCGATTGAATTAAGTACGACTCTCTCTCTCTCTCTCTCTCTCTCTCTCTCTCTCTCTCTCTCTCTCTCTTTTTCTTTTTCTTTTATCTTTTTATGTGTTGAAACGTCTAGGCTTGGAGATTTGCCGTACGAAAAAAATATGTTGGGAGGAAGAAAGAAATATTTACGAAATTTGCAGAATTATAAATGAGAGAGAGAGAGAGAAAGAGCGAGCAGGTTGTTGACCTTCAGGAATGTGAGGTGAAGAACTAGGTAGGTTATCCGGTATGTTGCAGGGGAGGGGGTGGGGGAGACTGGGGCGTTGTGGTAGGCGGTAGGGAGACAGGCGCTCAGGTCGTTGACTCCGCCAGTTCAAGTTCTTATTGATAATCTCTAGGAAGCGTAGAGAGAGTATGGTTTGACGTGTGTGTGTGTGTGACTTTGATGATGTGTGGTACTGTTGATGTTGACAATCACCGGAAGACCTCTAAGGGTGAGGGTGGAGGGAGGTATCTCTTAAATTACAGCCAATATACTTCTCTCCGTTGTACTGTACCTGCTGGTTACGTAATATCATTTGGAACTCGTTGTAAATGTAGTCAGCGGCTGGGTAATGGCAGTGTGACGTGGTTTTGTTGTGCAATCCGGCCACCGTGTGTTGAGGAGTGCATGACAAAAAGGAAAATGAAATGGTGATGTGTGTGGTAGGTGGTAGTGACAGCAGCAGCAGGAGAGAGAGAGAGTGTGTGTGGGGGGGGGGTTAGGTGGTAGTAACAGCAGCAGGAGGGTTTGTGTGGTAGGTAGGTGGGTAGCAACACACACAGCAGGTAGAAGTGCATGGGGGGGAGGTAAAGACAGACTCTGGTGTGCTTCGGTAGCGTGTTGGAGAAGACCCAACTGGCTCCTCCTTCAGTACATTATCCTCACGACCTCAATAATACCCTCACGACCTCAATAATACCCTCACGACTCATAATAATACCCCCACGACCTCACAACAACACCCTCACGACCCCCTACAATATCCTAACGACTTTACTATTACGCATCAGTGATAAAACTAAGATGTGGGATTATTACAGCAAAATGGTTATGTGGGTACTGTTTGCCATAGTACCGCATATTTCACTGGTAACGTGTGTCGTGAATAATAATGGTATGTCCACACAACAGTATACGATTATATGTGCGGTGGATAACAAATATTATCCCCACATCACGGTATATATATATAAATGAGTTATAACGAATGGTATGCCCGCACCACAGTATATAATGTAAGATGCCTTTAAAGAGGAATATGAGTGCACGTTAACAGTGATGGCAACAGTTTAGCATTACGGTATCGAAGTATAGTGCATTAACCTGTGATTTGGCTGTGTTGTTTTGCCGTAAAATCTTGCAGAACAATAAGGTGGCGCCTTTAACCTAAATGTGAATGTGGCTAGAAGCTACCAACTTAGATCATTTGCCCCTGGCAGTGTGTGCTCTGCCTTCTTTAACCCTTTCCCGCTGATTGTCTCACGATAGAATTTTTTCTGCCTACAGACAGACGATTTTATTCAGCTTTGGGAAATCTCCAGGACCTAAAGGGTTAAAATTGTCTATTACACACACACAACCCATTAGCATTGAGGACTATTTTGATTGTATCCATTAGAACTGGGATCTATTAGAATTGGGATTCATTAGAAGTAGGATTCATTAGGATTGGGAGTTTTAAACATATCCATTAGGCCTGGGGTCACCCAAGAGAATTAGAACCCATCAGTACTGGGACCTGTTAGATCTGAGACTCTAGAACTGACAAGTGATCGCTGGCCCTTTCTTGCCAGGTGAAAGTTTGAACGCTCGTGCTTGGCTAGCGCGCAACCGCTGTCCTGCTGACAGAGCACAGCAAATGAGGGTGCGCCAAGTCCGTAGACTTGCATCGTTTTCCAGCATAAATAAAATGGTTAATGAATGCCTTCCTAAAGAAACCATCGACATGGGACCAGGTTTGTTCCACTCTACGAATTTTTTGCGATTTTTCCACCAAGTTTGATGAAAAACGATTGTGCCGTTTCGGCTGCCCAGAACAGACACACACACAAACAGACAGACACATGCCTAGTCCTATAGTATATTAGATATCCGTTTGGACAGGGATCACTTTTTTTTTTATTATTATTATTGGGCACCCCCCTACATCCTTGTGTAAGGTGAAGAGCAGAAGTGTTTACTGGGCCCAACAGGGAAGCATGCTAAGTTCATGCTTGCCTTTATGTCTCATGAGTTAAGGGCTTATAAGCCTGAAGAGTCAAGGGCGTAGAAGCCTGAAGAGTCAATGGTTTATGTCATCAAGTTATTGGAAGCTCCAACAACTTTCCCTGAATACGAATTTGCAACTTTAGATTTACAACAGGCACCTACATTACTGCTAGGTGAACAGGGACCAATGAGGGCTAGGAAATATGTCCAAACAACTTTTCCACCGGCCCCGGGAATAGAACCCGTGACATCTCGTTTGCGAGGCAAGAGCAGTACCGTTCTACCACCGGCGCCCCCAGGGATCGCTTGTTAAGTCTGGGCTTCCAAAGTTAACCCTGGCATCACCTTTTATCACACCTGGGTAAATTGTCCAGCAAGTTTCTTTGGTCTGTTGTGCTGCAGAATGGTTATGTTAAACAGGTAAACTACACGAACCAACCAATCATAAACTACCAAACAGGGATGGTTGAGATAGGTTGGGTTTTCAGCAGGTTCACACACATTTACACGTCCTAACACTCCCTCCCACACGTCCCAACACTCCTTCCCACACTTCCCAACCCTCCCTCCCACACATCCCAACACTCTCTCCCACACGTCCCAACACTCCCTCCCACACGTCCCAACCCTCCCTCCCACTCCCACACGTCCCTCCCTCCACACGTCCCAACTTCCCAACCCTCCCTCCCCACATCCCTCCCACACGTCCCAACACTCCCTCACCCTCTTCCACACGTCCAAACACTCCCTCCCACACGTCCCAACACCCTCCCTCCCACACGTCCCAACACTCCCTCCCACACGTCCAAACACTCCCTCACCCTCTTCTACACTTGAACATCTCCCAACAGTACCTTCAGTTGTTGTAGTGTGTGTTTGTTTACGATCCTAGCTTATACTGTTTTTCGTTACCTGAGAGAGAGGTCGCGCGCGGCCATGCATGTGTGTGTTTGTGTGAAAGAGAGAGCTCAGAGAGAGAGAGAGAGAGAGAGAGAGAGTTGCGCCATAACCGACGAGAGGCGGCGAGACTGTTTACGTGATGCACATAGCGTGGCTCGAGGGAAGTGGTGGTGTACCCTCATCCTGGACTCTCATAGATTCGTATATTAATAACTTCCCTTAGATGAGGTTCTGAGAAAGCATCCCACGGGTTCACTTAAGGGTTCAAAAGTGGTATATTATACTTATTTGGAGGTGAGGTGTGTACAGGAGACACTAATGGTGTGTCCGTGTGATCAAATTTCAGCAGGTGGCATGTCAACTGTGAGTTTTTACGGTAAATCTTACAATAATTGACCTGAGTTAGGCAGGTGTTTCCCCCCAAACTTAAAGGTTGATTTATTTTGGTATACTATTGTTAAAGGTTCGCAGTCAACGTCATAATAGTGAGTTTTGCTTCTATAGACAGGATTATTATTTTCTGCACACCGGTTCCAAATACCTTATTGTGACCACCTTTAAACCCCTAAAGTAATCCCTTAAACATAAACAGTAATGCAGGTGGGTTACGGGGGTATATACAGTAGTGTCTCCCTAAAACACACACATACACATTAGCTACCTCTGAACACCTGATGTGACTCCGTAATGGATGGTTAGCGATTCTTGTCGAGTTCTGTATAGTATGTCGTGGCTGAGACCCTTACTAATATTTACCACGTTAAGAGAGAGTCACTCGCCGATTTAATCTTGATCACTATTACATGCTCAGGTACGTCCAAGAACCCGTGTATGCCCAGGCTTTCCAACGATTATTAAGTTGACCAACATCCCGGCTAGCTCGTGAACTGATAGTCTGGCCTTACGAAATGTCATTAGTACTTTACCGTTCAGTAACACTAGAGAAGCTTCACGTCTTTGCCGTTGAATACCACTAAAAAGTCCACAAGGATCGAAGTTAACGTGTTTGTCAGAAATCTTCATTTATTTATCAGAAAATCAATAGATACCGATAAGTCAGGAATACGTATATTTAATCCAAAAACTTGTGTTATGTTAGAAATTAATTTATACCAAAAGTCTGTATGATTTGTGTAAGAAGTCCGAATATTTACTGTATTTCAGAAACTCGTAATATTGTTCTTGAATTTCAGGGTTGAAAAAATAAAACCACAGTGCAAATACCGGTATTAAAAGTGTGTCAATCATGAGCAATGTTGTGGAGGCAGCGTCAGCGGCGGTAGAGGTGTCAGCCGCCGTTGGCCACGCCGTAGGAGACGCTGTAAATGCCACAGCAGACACTGTGGGCAAAGTTACAACGTCAGTACTCGAAAGTGCAGAGGGTGTCGTACGTTCAGCTGCAGAAGAGGCAATAGGTGTGGCGAAGGAGGCAGCATCGTCCAAGCCAGCAAGAGAAGCAGCAGAGGTGGCCGGGAGTGCGTTAGAGGAAGCGGGGGTCGTCCTCCAGCAAGCAGGTCACGCCCTCAGACACCTTCCACCACCTCCACTTGAACAAATGAAGCCCAAAAGTAAGACAGAGTCGATGTTTGAGACAACTAACTCCCTCTAACACGGTGATGGGACTTTCTGATCTATATCGTAGATAGAGAATTGATATTTGAGACAGCTAACTTGCTCTTAACACGGTGATGGTACTTGCTTGGGTTGTTTGACCATTATAGGTTTAGTGATAAAGCTCTGGGGTTGGTGGTGGCTATTTGTTTCTTGATAAAGTCACTAACACTGGTGTATGAACCAGAAGAGGCAATTGTTTGTTTAACGACTACAACAGTGGTGGCGTGAGACGTCCGCCACCTGGAGGTGTGTGTGTGTGTGTTTGCACGTGTATAAATACGTGCATGCTTTTGTGTGTGTTTATTAGTGTGAAAGAGCCTACAGGTATTTACATTTATGGATATACATGCTTGTATGTAGGTGTTTGTGCAAGTATAATTTAACTAACTAACTAACTATATATATATATATATATATATATATATATATATATATATATATATATATATATATATATATATATATATATGTGTGTGTGTGTGTGTGTGTGTGTGTGTGTGTGGGAGGAGGGGGGGGGGAGTAGCACATGCTCGCCTAACATTACCATATTGACCAAGCAGCTGTTGACATGCACGCTTCAGCATTCACTCTCTTATACCCGCCTGTTTCTGTCCCACAACATTCCACCCGATCTCGCAAGGTTTCTCCGAATCACCTGTGCTCAATATAGGTAAGATTGGCCAATATAATAATAAGGACTATAACATCACTAATACTAAATATGGATATGGTTGGCTATTAGTTAAGAGTGATTCTTTCAAGCCACAGTCATAAACGTCTTAAGGTCACGGATTAGAAAATGATTGAGGTCACGGATTAGTAAATGTTTGAGGTCAAGGATTAGTAAATGTTTGAGGTCACGGATTAGTAAATGTTTGAGGTCACGGATTAGTAAATGTTTGAGGTCAAGGATTAGTAAATGTTTGAGGTCACGGATTAGTAAATGTTTGAGGTCAAGGATTAGTAAATGTTTGAGGTCAAGGATTAGTAAATGTTTGAGGTCACGGATTAGTAAATTTGAGGTCACGGATTAGTAAATGTTTGAGGTCGGATTAGTAAATGTTTGAGGTCACGGATTAGTAAATGTTTGAGGTCACGGATTAGTAAATGTTTGAGGTCACGGATTAGTAAATGTTTGAGGTCACGGATTAGTAAATGTTTGAGGTCAAGGATTAGTAAATGTTTGAGGTCAAGGATTAGTAAATGTTTGAGGTCACGGATTAGTAAATGTTTGAGGTCACGGATTAGTAAATGTTTGAGGTCACGGATTAGTAAATGTTTGAGGTCACGGATTAGTAAATGTTTGAGGTCACGGATTAGTAAATGTTTGAGGTCACGGATTAGTAAATGTTTGAGGTCACGGATTAGTAAATGTTTGAGGTCACGGATTAGTAAATGTTTGAGGTCACGGATTAGTAAATGTTTGAGGTCACGGATTAGTAAATGTTTGAGGTCACGGATTAGTAAATGTTTGAGGTCGCGGATTAGTAAACGCTTTCACGGTGTGCCAACAGGGGATAAATAAAAATTAAAATATGAGTTAACCGAGGGAGAGTTAGTGAGAGTGAGTGAGAGTTGGTGTGAGAGTGAGTGAGAGTTGGCGTGAGAGTGAGTGAGAGTTGGTGTGAGAGTGAGTGAGTGAGTGAGAGTGAAGGTTGAGGAAAATGACACGCGATAGACTAACCCCTGAGGGAGTGTCAGCCATGTGGATAAGGGAGTCATGAGGGAGTGTCAGTCATGTGGATTAGTGAGTCATGAGGGAGTGTCAGTCATGTGGATAAGGGAGTCATGAGGGAGTGTCAGCCATGTGGATAAGTGAGTCATGAGGGAGTGTCAGCCATGTGGATCAATGAGTCATAGGGGAGTGTCAGCCATGTGGATCAGTGAGTCATAGGGGAGTCTCAGTCATGTGGATTAGTGAGTCATGAGGAGTGTCAGCCATGTGGATTAGTGAGTCATGAGGGAATGTCAGTCATGGATTAGTGACTCATGAGGGAGTGTCAACCATGTGGATCAGTGAGTCATGAGGGAGTGTCAGCCATGTGGATTAATGAGTCATGAGGGAGTGTCAGCCATGTGGATTAGTGAGTCATGAGGGAGTGTCAGTCATGTGGATTAGTGAGTCATGAGGGAATGTCGGTCATCTGGATCAGTGAGTCATGAGGGAGTGTCAGCCATGTGGATCAATGAGTCATACGGGAGTGTCAGCCATGAGTGAGTTATTTAAACCTTGTCTAAATGAGTGAGTTCCTTGAAGTGATATCCCCGAGGGAGTAGTTAGCAGGTGCCTACTCTCTCTCTCTCTCTCTCTCTCTCTCTCTCTCTCTCTCTCTCTCTCTCTGAATTAATCTGACAATGACACTTGAACATTTTACCGATTTGCTCCTCCGATAATTTATTTATTTATTATTTATTTATATGATTTAGAATATTTTATTATAGAAGTTTGACCTTTGGGGAAAATTGGTATGTGCCTTTTGGGAATTTGGGCAGTTGTTTTGATCCTATTGGGGATTTTGGGTATTTTCTCTAATGGAGATTTTGATTTGTATTTTTTTATGGTTTGGGGGGATTTTTATTTCTCTTTTAGAATTTTTTGGGAATTTTCTCCTATCTCTTGGGAATTTTGGGAGCAATATTACCTGTATTTTAAGGGATTTGGACAATATTGTTACGATCATCCAGCTTAATTCTTGAGGTCCAAAGATAAGATATGCTTCCCGGCGCTCTAGACCTTCCGTGTCAGGCGGTGAAGCAGCTCAGCTCTTTGCCCATTCTGGAGACATTTACAAAGAGGCGACTCACGGTACCAGTCACCTAGGCCAGGATGACCCACGGTACCAGTCACCTAGATCAGGAGGTGACCCACGGTACCAGTCACCTAGACCAGGAGGTGACCCAACGTACCAGTCACCTAGATCAGGAGGTGACCCACGGCAGGAGTCACATATCAGGACAGGGTGAAAGAGAATAGGTGCCCGATCTCTACTGTGTGTGTCTGGTGTTTCATGATCCGGTTGGTCTGGTTGATGGGAGGTGAAAGTATCCTCGATTGGTGGTGAAGAATGGCTAATGGATGGTGCAAGCTCGTGGATAGTACAGGCTAGTGAATGGTACAGGTGAGTGGATGGTGTAGGGCCTACACCAAACTACGGCCCGCGGGCCGGATCCCAAGTCCTTCCCCGGCTCGTGGTAGCTCCGCCTACGCTCTGACGTTACCAGAGCTTTCGTTCTGGCTTGCAAGTATTGAGCAGAATGATTATGCGGCTCGCGCTCGTCATTCTTTCAGTTATCCGGCCCACTGTGAAAAAAGTTTGGTGACCCCTGGTGTAGGCCAATGAATGGTGCAGGCTAGGACTTGTGCGATTGGCAACTGGTGTACTAAACAGGTTTTGGTGTTGACTCGTGACGGTTCGGAAATCAACAGGACTTGATGGATCAACGTAAGGCAGTAATGACGTCGAGTCACCTTCTCCCGGGTGTCTCTGTAAGCCTATCGAGGTACTAACAATGTGATCGAAAAGTCCCTGTGCACCAACCATAATTAACAATATCGCTGTTATTCTTCTTTATATCAACTTTGTTATTATTCTTGTTCTACTTACAGTGAATATTGAAAATGATCATCAATGTTGGAAATGGATAACATTTACAATATTTACTGTAAGTAGAACAAGGTGTATAACAATATAGGTATAATTAAAAATAACTATAGTGCTATTTCCTGCAGGTGCACAGGGATTTTTCGATCATTGTTATTATTCCGGATTTCTGTAACCTCGGCCAATATATGAAGTGTTTTGGTAACAATTTGCCAGATCAAGGCTTTTGTTTGCAATGTGTTATGTTAACTGCTGGTTTCAGTGAGAAGGTATTGAAGGTAAATGATCAGGGCCAAGGGAATCTTCCGGGTAAGAGGGATGTTTGTGAGAAGTGAGGTAGAGAGAGGTGTGAGGGATGAGGCAAGTGAGGCAGGTAGGGTGAGAGTGAAGAAGCCAGGTAGGGTGTATCGGTAAGGTGCGGGCGGGGTAAGGCTTCCTCGTGGTGTGACCTTTAGTGTGTGAGTTACGTACAAGTTGTGAGGACTGGATTAGCAAGGCAGGAAGGCTGAAAGTGAACAATGTCTCCAACTTAAAATAAAAGTGAATGTGGTCGAGTGGAGTACTAGTCATGCTGCTTCCTTGTGTACAGAAGGCTTAGTATAATACAGTGTGTTGCATCCACACTGTCTCTACCGGGTAGTCATGCCCACTTTTACCTCGGTGATTACGATTCTTAAGGTGCACAAACCCTCTGTGGTTTCCCGGTCCAAGGATTATATCTGTCCACACACACTCAAGATGCCAAGTGTCTCCCTCAGTGGAGAAGTTATGGGCATTGTCTGCTAGTTGACATTTTACAAACTTGTTGTTTAGATATATTACAGTAAGATCTTAGACGATTTCGATGATCAGTATTTTGCGTCATCACTGAGCAGTGTTATGACTTATTTTATTTTGCGATGGCGTGGCGGGGATTTACCCACCTTGTTACTCACACAGGAACATTACCTCCTGCCACTAATGTGTTTGAGTTTAAGAAAAATTATTCAGCATTATGAAGACTCAACTGATCTATTGACTGAGCTCGGCCTACTCTCGGCGTCCTTAGCAACCACTACACTTCATGAAAGTCGACTTGTTGCTGGTTGTTTTTTGAGTCCTACGGCCACGTCTACTGTAGGTGAAGTGGCATGAATCACTTCCTCGTCTACTGTAGGTGAAGTGGCATGAATCACTTCCTCGTCTACTGTAGGTGAAGTGGCATGAATCACTTCCTCGTCTACTGTAGGTGAAGTGGCATGAATCACTTCCTCGTCTACTGTAGGTGAAGTGGTACGAATCACTTCCTCGTCTACTGTAGGTGAAGTGGTACGAATCACTTCCTCGTCTACTGTAGGTGAAGTGGTACGAATCACTTCCTCGTCTACTGTAGGTGAAGTGGCATGAATCACTTAACAACCGGCATCCAGTCAACCTAGACACATTGTAATAGTTGACAAGGACCACCACGCAACCAGACGCCACTGTACCACACAAACTAGGGCGCCACTGTACCACACACCACCACACAACCAGACGCCACTGTACCACACAACCAGACGCCACTGTACCACACAACCAGACGCCACTGTACCACACAACCAGGCGCCACTCGTACCACACACCACCACACACAACCAGACGCCACTGTACCACACAACCAGACGCCACTGTACCACACACCACCACACAACCAATCACTCAGATATACCCCGCCATTATTAGCGTGATCTCGCAAAATTTAATGAACCTGACCGCTTATTTATGCCATTCTAAAATTTATTACATAAATCCTGTTTTGAATTCATCTCATTCTAAGTTTGTCTAGTCAGTCTTGCTTAATAGGAACTTGATAACTCTTAGATTTTAAGTACCATTCACATTTGAAGGTAAAATACGAGCCAGAAAGGTGTGTGTGTGTGTAATAATAATAATAATAATAATAATAATAATTGTAATAAATAACGGTTTATTGAAAGAGCATGGCAGCAGGAAGGCTGAAAATATACAGCTACATAATTGGGGAAAGGGTCTCTTGATTTACAAATAATATACGAGTAACATAAGTGATACAAATATGATATTTAATAACTAGGTGTGTGTGTGTGTGTGTGTGTGTGTGTGTGTGTGTGTGTGTGTGTGTGTGTGTGTGTGTGTGTGTGTGTGTGTGTGTGTGTGTGTGTGTGTGTGTTGGACGATATTATGTTGAAATCTACCTGCGTGTTTTCTCAAATCGGGAATTAAGGCAAAAAACTGTCGACTCATATTCTGACATTGCCAATACTGGTCATACATGTGGCCGTGTGAAGATGGTGCCACCTTACACACTGAGGATAGTGCCACCCTACACAGTAATGATACTGCCACCCTACACACTGAGTATAATGCCACCCTACACACTGATGGTAGTGCCACCCTACACACTGATGATACTGCCACCCCTACATACTGAGGATAGTGCCACCTTACACAGGATACTGCCACCCCTACATAATAGTGCCACCTTACACACTGAGGATAATACCACCCCACACGAGGGATAATGCCACCCTACACCCTGAGGATAGTGCCACCTTACACACCGAGGATAATGCCACACTACACACTGAGGATAATGCCACCCACAGTAACGATACTGCCACCCTACACAGTAATGATACTGCCACCCTACACACTGATGATACTGCCACCCTACATACTGAGGATAGTGCCACCTTACACCGAGGATACTGCCACCATTAGTGCCACCTACACACCGAGGATACTGCCACCCTACACTGAGGATAATACCACCCTACACACCGGGATAATGCCACCCTACACCCTGAGGATAGTGCCACCTTACACCGAGGATAATACCACCCTACACACTGAGGATAATGCCACCCTACACCCTGAGGATAGTGCCACCTTACACACCGAGGATAATGCCACCCTACACACTGATGATAGTGCCACCCTACACACTGAGGATAATACCACCCTACACACCGAGGATAATGCCACCCTACACACTGATGATAGTGCCACCCTACACACTGAGGATAATGCCACCTACACCCTGAGGATAGTGCCACCCTACACCCTGAGGATAGTGCCACCTTACACACCGAGGATAATGCCACCCTACACACTGAGGATAATGCCACCCTACACACTGATGATAGTGCCACCTTACACACCGAGGATAATGCCACCCTACACACTGAGGATAATGCCACCATACACCCTGAGGATAGTGCCACCTTACACACCGAGGATAATGCCACCCTACACACTGAGGATAATGCCACCCTACACCTGAGGATAGTGCCACCTTAAACACCGAGGATAATGCCACCCTACACCTGAGGATAGTGCCACCCCACCCTGAGGATAGTGCCACCTTACACACCGAGGATAATGCCACCCTACACACTGAGGATAATGCCACCCCTACACCCTGATGATAGTGTCACCTTACACACCGAGGATAATACCACCCCACACTGAGGATAATGCCACCCTACACCCTGAGGATAGTGCCACCTTACACACCGAGGATAATGCCACCCTACACACTGAGATAATGCCACCCTACACACTGATGATAGTGCCACCTTACACACCGAGGATAATGCCACCCTACACACTGATGATAGTGCCACCCTACACACTGAGGATAATGCCACCCTACACACTGAGGATAGTATACCGAGATAATGCCACCCTACACACTGATGATAGTGCCACCCTACACACTGAGGATAATGCCACCTACACCCTGAGGATAGTGCCTTACACGAGGATAATGCCACCCTACACACTGATGATAGTGCCACCCTACACACTGCCACCCTACACACCGAGGATAATGCCACCCTACACACTGGGATAATGCCACCCTACACACTGATGATAGTGCCACCTTACACACCGAGGATAATGCCACCCTACACACTGATGATAGTGCCACCTACACACTGAGGATAATGCCACCCTACACACTGAGGGATAGTGCCACCTTACACACCGAGGATAATGCCACCCTACACACTGAGGATAGTGTTACCCTACACACTGATGATAGTGCCACCCTACATACTGAGGATAGTGCCACCTTACATACTGAGGATAGTGTTTACCCCACCCACACTGTTGATAGTGCCACCCTACATACTGAGGATAGTGCCACCTTACATACTGAGGATAGTGACACTTTACATGCTGGGGATGGTGCCACCCAACATACTGTTGATAGTGCCACTGTACATATTGAGGAAAGTGACACTACATATTGAGGATAATGACTCTACATATTGAGGGTAGTGCCACCCTACATACTGATGATAGTGCCACCCTACTTACTGAGGATAGTGACACTACATATTGAGGATAGTGACACTACATATTGAGGATAGTACCACCCTACATACTGACGATAGTGCCACTCTACATACTTATGATAGTGCTACTTTACTTACTGAGGATAGTGCCACTCTACATACTTATGATAGTGCTACTTTACTTACTGAGGATAGTGCCACCCTACATACTGATGATAGTGACACCCTGCATACTGAGGATGGTGCCACCCTGCACTTAAAGTGGTGTCAAGCCGTCAGCTGAAGATGGAGGAAAAGGTGGGTGCTTGATGTCAGTCAGTATCATAGACACTTGACATATTACAGCCTTCCGACGCACTGTCTTGCATCATTGTGGTGTCAAAGCATAACCCTCCTTATGCCCGTGACAGTAATGAGTGCCAGGGTCTTATCCAGGCAGCCAATGGCACCTTAACACACATAAGAATGGAACCAGTCCTGTAATTGCTTTAACAATAAATTATGAAGCATGTTTTTTATTACCTCAACTTTGTTCTCTGCTGCTTCAGGTCGCCTTGTACTTACTGTAGTGTTATCAGATAAACATACAGTATTCAACTGATGGTCTCGACTGGAGGATGAATTTGTTTATTTTCGTGATAAAATTTTGGATGAGACCAATAGAAGTACAGGTGGCCAAGTGACAGCAAGGACTAAACTGTTTTGTGACCATCATAAACTGCGTATCAGAGACACATCAAGTATCAGGTTCCTAGACACTCGTAGATTAAAATATCCCTCAATTGGTGATGTGCAAATACATCTAATTGGCTTCAGTTAAATGAAGACATAAAGTCGGCTGCTTAAATACCTTCAAAATGATATACTGTATATTCTACTGTTACCAGAGGCGTTCTCTGATACGCAGCTCGGGCAGAAATTCATCTTATGAACCTACTGTAGGAGAACCTAGAGCCACTTTTATAATTCTTGTACATATGGTTTATATTGTTCGTGGTGAAACTAAAATTTATGGATTTTAAACCACTCGTGATGCGTTTACAATTCTTAAAAGGCGTGATTAATTTACACCAAACAACACTCTTATATCTGTCATCGGTATGACCTGTTATACAAGTTTTGTAAAAGGGGAAATAGTTGACTGTGAAGCTAGATACTTTACAGATATAATAGAAAAGTGAATTAATGTAACATATGACATAAAGCTCACTCTACCAGAGAAATTGTATGATATTTCCCAAGAAAATATTTAACGCCTCTCCGTTCCTCTTAAGAAGACTCCTAAGGACGAGTGTGTTCATAGTTGATTTGAAGTTGTATATCCCCTGGCTGACAAGGGGACTGGGAATTTACTTTAAATGGACCGAAATATTCTTCGGTGCAAACGATTATCGTCTAGGGATGCGGTCGCCTTTGTCTATGTATGTGGAGATGATGGACTAACATTGTGTGTGGTTTTTCCCTTGCAGGCATGTTAGAGGAGTATGCCCCAGTGATGGGCGGGGTGGTGGCAGCGGCGGCAGTGGTGGCTGCCACTTACTACCTCACCAGACCTCCTTCTGTCCCACCCCAGGTCGACTTGGATGAACAGAGTCATTTAATAAAAGAGGTAAGTAACTGGCCACTTACGTCTACATTTCGGAGAAAATTTTCTTCACGAGTCTCGCTAAAATTAAGGCTCAAATTTCTAATCCATGAGAACCAAAACCTGCCAGATGAACACGTGACTTCAGGAGTCCAATACCGTACTTCCTGATGATGGGAATAATCACGAAGGCGCCTGGATCTTTTTTTAGTGTTTCTGTTTCATAGTGGTTACTTGCGTGTATAAAGGTGCCGCTGTGTGTTAAGGTAGTCACCAGTGTGTATCTGTAACTTACATTTCTGCTTGCCATCATCTTGATTGTGGGTAACGATCGGAAAATGGGTCTTGCTCACGATCTCTTCGCGTCTGTCTCACTCTTCACCAATGTCATAGACAAAACTGCAATACAGTATGGGAGACATTGTCTATCGGGTCCCAGGAGAACATCTCTAGATCTCGCAGTACTTGGACACTGTATAGCGGTGTACTTCCTAGTCTCTCCTGTCTGCCCCGCCTTGCCACGTTCACTGTATAGTTATGGTTGCTAGAAGGGAAAGAAGGTAAACTATTGTTTAGAACAATATTAATAGGACCAATGGCTATTTATTGTTCATGACCATTTAACAAAGAAATTTATCGGTGTTATTTGTGTGTGACTTTTTTTTAACACTGGCTGTCTTGGTTGTGCTAACACCTTCCGTTCTTGTTTAGTGTGGCCAAGGTGTTACGTTTTCTATTAGGTTGTATTCATAGAAAAAGGGGTAGTGATGGCAAACTCAACTGATCTCATTAACTCCCTGTAACAAAGTTATACTTTATATTATTTTTAGCACTTTTATTGACGACACAGTACGAGCAAATGCTGTCAATGATGCTCATTCATTGGGTTACCGAAGACTGCTTGTTACATTAAAGCTGAACAAAGTTGCCCAAAATCAGGGTTTCATGGTGAACAGAATTAGGGTAAGATCTGGGAAATATAATTGCCAGTGTATGATGTGTAAGGGTACTGGAAACAGTGGTGAAAACAGGTAAGAAGTTAGAAGGAAGCGTTTGGGCATAACACCATTATATCCTTAAGCACATCAGAATTATCCTTGTATAACAGGATTCACGAAGTTCACGGTATAGTGGCTCAGGGTATGGCCGCCAGGATGCCCATATGGACGGCCTCACATAAGGAGTGGTACACTAAGCAGTGCCAAGCGGGGATTGCATCACACCGCCGAATATACATTACAGGTAACAGCAATGTATTACAAAGCTGGGTATACAGTAATTCCTATACGATGATTGTATTTTGAAGTAGTGTCATAACCTAGAGTAGAATAGTAATACATCTATCAACACATTACTGTAATGTTTATTGTAACCAAACATGTAGGGAACCTTGTATCGACGCTTTCACCTGTATATTTCCGGTGTGGGGTGGAGTGTGTTAGATGGGGGTGTATTGGGTGGGGTGTGATGGACTGGGTGTGTTAGATGAGTGTCTGGGGTTTGTCAGGTAGGGTGTGTGGGGTGAAGTTCGAGGATCGGGGTTCGGTTGAGGGCTTCAGGCGTGAGTGGTTGGGGGGGTTGTGGTGGTCAGGTGATGGTGGTGTGGGTCAGACTTGGCCCTGGTGCGGGTGTGTGGCTTCCCAAGGGTGTTCCTCTCCCCACCCCCCTCCGCTCCAATCAGTAGACGCACTCTCCTCTCCTCCCCTCAGTAGACTTCACCCCCCTCTCTCTCCTAGAGACCCACCTGCCGTGTCATCAGTCACCATTCTTCACACACACAAACACACACACACACACACACACACACATAGCACAGTGGCCACGCTCGCTCTCCCAAATTAGGCAAAACTAAATATACCTGAGGCTCGAGCAATCATCCCGGTATTACTAGTTCGGACGTACTGGCTGCTGCTCAACTGGATTTTAATTTTAGCATTCCTATGATACTGCTTGTGTGTCTTTAGTTATAAACATTTTCAGTCTCTGTTTACCATTGTTTATATACCAGCACTGTCTATTTATATTTTGAATTAAAGTGAACGTGTATGGCGATTTTCCTGACTACATATCTATTTACCTGTTTAGCTTCAATAAGACGCGTTTTAGAATAATTCCCACGACATGATGGTCGCTTTTAATGTTCTTGATAAACTGCCGATTTTGATCTTTCGCCCAGTTTTGTCCAGGTGATGTTATTGTCACTCATGTCGTTGTTTCGGTCACCAGCTGTGATTTTTTTTTTTTTTTTTTACTTGGGGAAGCCTGAAGTTGAGGTCTTCGTAGGTATCTTTTTTATCTTGTTTTATCTCAGTTCCATTATATATGTTAACCAAGAGGCGAGGAGCGTCAAGCTCTTCATGGGGCCGACAAGTGAAGTGGTAATCTAGTAACCCATCAACCAAGCTCTTCAACAGATGAATTAGAAGATCGACGGGGAGTTAAGAATGATGGGTTTAAAGGTTTTGCAAAAATGTAGGTATTCTTCACTCATTGTGTAGTGTGGTGGGCGGAGTGTGTGTGACACGGCCTGACATGTATTGAAGTCTGTGTGTCATTGTTTGACAATATGTTTGTGTAGCTTGAATTGACTCCATTGAAATGAAAGAGAGTGTATGTGTGTGTGCAAAATATTCAAGAATCCATGCCATAGATAGCATCAAATTGCATGGTACGATGTAATTGTATTAAATTTGTTTGGGGATAACACTTCACACAAAAAGATCACACCTTCCCCCCATCTCTCCCCGGGCTATGATTCACGCGCACAGGACGTAGTTGGCGGTGGCCGGATATTTTCCAACCCGAAGTCACTTCCTCGGTGAGGTGCTCACTACCCTGACACCAGCCCCGACAAACACCCATACTGTGACAAGGTTCACAACACGTGTTCCTGACTCCTCGTCTCGTTCTTTCGTAAGTGACAGTGGCGATGATAGCTCCCTTCCTCCCCTCCTCCTCTTCATCACCTGGGCTGGTAATATGACGATGACTGCTCCTTCCTCGTCCCTCCACCACCACTTTACCCCCCTCCCCCCAGACAGGTGATGGTGAGGAGGGGGAGGGGCTATATATATCCACCCCCGTGATTGGCTTGATTTTCTTTTAGACAATCCGGGGACCTCTCTGTGATGCCATGATGGGGGGGGGGGGGGCTGATAGCCTACGTGTAGCTACCTTTGGGTTAGCTGTGGTCTGCCTGCGTTAACTGTGGGCTACCTTTGAGTTAGCTGTGGATACCTTTGAGTTAGCTGTGGATACCTTTGAGTTAGCTGTGGGCTACCTTTGAGTTAACTGTGGACTACCTTTGAGTTAACTGTAGGCTACCTTTGAGTTAACTGTGGGCTACCTTTGAGTTAACTGTAGGCTACCTTTGAGTTAACTGTGGACTACCTTTGAGTTAACTGTGGACTACCTTTGAGTTAGTTGTGGGCTACCTTTGAGTTAACTGTGGACTACCTTTGAGTTAACTGTGGACTACCTTTGAGTTAGTTGTGGGCTACCTATGAGTTAGCTGATGTTTGCCATATGGCTGGATGCGAGATGGTGTACGACTGGCCTTGAGGTGGTTTGCGTTACCTGTTGAGTAAATTTAATGCTTCCTGTGGGTGGATGTGGGTTGTGTGCCCAGCTGACGGTTGGTTGTGCAATGTTTTCGTAGAGATCTTCTTCTTCTTCTTCTTCTTCTTCTTCTTCTTCTTCTTCTTCTTCTTCTTCTTCTTCTTCTTCTTCTTCTTCTTCTTCTTCTTCTTCTTCTTCTTCTTCTTCCAGTAGCGATAACCTACCAACCCTCCAGGATACCCATATATTTGCCCTCCCTGATACTCCCCCTCCTCTTTACACTCCCCAATGCCCTTTCCGCCAGTCCAGTCATTCTCCACTTCATTACCTCGGAATTAGGTTGAGAGTATTAAGGGTGACATGTCTCCGGTGGGAGGCGTGTGGACTAACACTCTTATTGACAGAGGAACACCACAGGCTTAACTCCCAGGGCCTAAAGCTACCCTACTCACCCTCACCCAGTCACCCACTACCACCACGACCCACTGCCACCTTCCTCACCCATCACCACCACCACGACCCACTGCCACCTCCCTCACCCACCACCATCACGACTACCCACTGCCACCTCCTTCACCCACCACCACGACCCACTGCCACTTTCCTCACCCACCATCTCCCTCCCTCACCCACCACCACCACGACCCACTGCCTCCTCCCTTACCACCAACAGGAACTACCACTTACTCATTCATCACCATCCCGACCAGGAACGAAATGCCACCTTCCTCACCTCCACCGCCAAGAACCACCACCACCTGACATCATCCATCAGCAAGGATCTAGCAGCACCTGGGTGAGGCCTCCTGGCTCACAGGTCACCGAAGGTAGAAGCATGTCATTGTGGTAGAGTGATAGAGGACAGCGGCAAGAAGATCGACTAGTAAAGGCGACAAGTGGCGAAGAGGGTAAAGTAAGAGGCTACACCAGACTAAAGATCCACCTCCTGCACACACACACACACACACACACACACACACACACACACACACACACACACACACACACACACACACACTCGCGACGCCCTTGCCAGCAACACCCGTCATTCTCACCTGCTCCTTCGGCCCTCCCTCAGTTTATAAAAAGTCATGATGGGTCGACCACGCGTAATTTGAATACTGAAGAGCAAACATGTGTGACATATACCTGACACAAGTATATAAACATCGTCTCCTCCACTACGAACAACCACGACATCACCGACTTGGTATTTTCTATTCACGTGTCTCCAAAAATCATCCTACCTCCCCCGGCTTCCTGCGTCCTTTAGTAGTTATGGCAACGACAGAAGCAAGGGTGAGGGAAAGAGGCATTAGGGAGGAATCATCACTAAGGACAGCAGGAACCATCACTAAGGACAGCAGGAGAGGAATCATCACCCTAATTCTGACTCTCCCTGCTTCCTCTCATCCCCCACACACACACACACATGGGCGCCACTGTGAATTGAACAACACTTCACT